TTTCCCCCCCCCCCCCCCAACAAGGCGGTGGTGGTGAGGCCGCCGTTTCACGAGCACCGCCTGGCTCCTCGCCCCGCCCCGCCTGCCGCCGCCCGCACCTCCTACGACACCATCCCCGTCGTCGACGAGCACGGCCGCCTCTTCCTCCGCCCGGACCCCAGGCTCGCGCGAAGCAACGACGCAGCCTCCGGCAGCGGCGGCGCCGGCGGTTGCGGCGGCGCCGGCATCGCCGACGCCGGCGCGGCGCTGCCCGCGCCTTGCGCCTCTGCCGCCGCCACTGCCGACGCCGCCACCGCCGGCGCCACCGCCCGCGCCACCGCTGACGTCGAGGCCGCCGCCGGTGCCTCCTCCTCCCCCTCCCCCCCCTCCTCTACCTCCTCCCCCTCCCTGCAGCGCTAAGAGGTGAGCCGCGAGGGCCTCGGGAGGTGCGAGGGGCGCGGAGAGAGGTTAGATTCCGGGCGCGTTGCAAAGGGCATCGCTCGCCCTCGCCGTGCGGAGTGCGCTGTGCGCGCGCTCTAACGCAGGCGCTGTATTCGTCCTTGTGGTGACTCCTGTATCTGTGCGCGACCTTGTACACGTGGGTGTCGCAGCGGCGCTGACTGTCTGGTGTAATGCGCTGTCTTTTTTGGAGAGCTACCCTCCTACGGTAGAGCCCTAGAGGACGCGGGGCGGCCGGGAGCGGATGAGGGCTAAAGCCGTACCTCTACCGCATCCCATTGCATGAGATGGGGACCCCAAGTGCCCAAGAGCAAGACGCATAGCCATAGAGTGAGGTCTGAGTGAGGAGATACAGATGTTGAGATGATTTCGTTTTGACATTCACAAGGATCGCATGGCGCATCGGTAAAGCCGTAGTACTAAGTACAGCTCGAATAGCAGTGTGATTCAACGCCCATCGCGAGGGGCGCGGAAGAACGGCCGATGCCCTTGCCGCTCTGCCAAGTGCGTTTACGCGGTGGCAGCGCTCTTGACCTTGCCTCGGCCTCTTCGGGACCCCTCCCACATGCTCCCATTGTACACCTCGGCGCTCTCGCGATGGTGCCACATGGTCATTGGCAACTTCGCCAGGCCACCGAGCAGGTTGACGAAGCCGTGGCTCATCATGAGCTTGGCAGAGCTTCTGATGCTGTCCGACGACAAGTGCGACGTCTCGTAGACGACGCGCCACGTGGGGATGCGATCAAATGGGTATTGCTTCAGGACCTCGGCGTCGTAGCCCTCGGCATCAATCATGAGGAGCGTGACGGGACGCGTCGCGCGCAGTACGGAGACCTCCGTGGCCAGACAGCCGCACGGCACCTGGTGGGCGACGATACGGTTCATCACCAGCCGGTCCATGCAATTTGGTGGCAGCTCTCGACCCACGAGCTGAGAGCATCTGTTGCACTTGGCTGGCGTGAAGCCGAAGATCTTGGCTGAGGCGATCAGGTGGCCTCTGCTGAGCGACGCGATCTCGGAGACCCAGCCCCCGCCGGGCACTAGTGCGCAGCGCGGATCGCTGTGGTTGGAGCCCCAACCGTCTGGGTCGGTCTTATTGGAGAGGTCCACAGACCAGAATGTCTTCTTCTCGTGCGCATTGCACGTTGCGCCACACACTGCGGCGTTGAGCAGCCGAACGCTCTGATGCCCATCGTACTGCTTGCGAAGCTTCTCGAAGTGGTTCGGCGATGGCTCGATGAGAAGCGACCGCCATCCTCGTTGTGTGCAGACCGGCCCTGGGTCGCCATTGTCGTACCCATGCCGTTTGTGATCGTTGGCACCCACCTGGACCAGCACGGATGCTGCGGCGTCGAGCCGCGGGACCCAGTCCATGAGCGGCGCGGCGCGATGCACGCTCGTGTTCAGGAGCTGTTTCCTCGCATCCAGCATCTGCGCGAGCAGAGGTTCCATCGGCATGATCCCGGGTCGCGTGAGCTAGGGATTACGTAGATCGCGCTTTTTTTCGACCGCAGACGATGTACAAGTAATGTATACGGTAGCCGGGGCATCCACTTCGTCGTCGCGACGGGGTCTCACCCGGGCATCACCGTGATAGCCACACCCGGGGCAAGGCGCGGCCGGGTGATGCCCGGGGTGCACAACACCCGGGGCCGGCCGCGCCCGGCTGAGTGATGCCACCGGGCGAGCACCACACCAACCACCTACCTGGGGCGCCGCTTGCGCTTGTATGCACCGTGACTTGGCCGAGCCTGCTTGCCCGCAAATAAGGCTCTCTCCTTCTGTTGATCCGAATCGACCTAAATCGATGTTTTTCTTTTTGAGCTAGACTTCGTTGTTAATAGGAACAAGCGAAGGCACACACGACATGACGCCAAACACACGATTGCACGCACCGCACCGCACCTCGCACCCGCGCCCGCCGCCCCCCCGACCCCCGCCCCGCCTAGGTGGGAAAGAGATGAGGAGATGGGACAGCCCGAAGGAGGAGGGACGAGCACGTATGGGAGGGTTCAATGATGCGCCACGCTGCCCGGCGTTTCTCACTTTCCGGGACAGCCCCGCCCTTGTGAGGCAGGAAAGTGACGGCTACCCCGTACGCACCTGTAGACCTGCTACCCCTTCGCCGACCGCCCATCCCCCCTCCCCGTCCCCAACCCCGACGAGCCGATGACCGTCGCCTCTGCCCTGGCAGCCGCGCGCCCCCGACCACCCCCCCCCCCCCCCACCCACACACACACACACACACACACACACACCGCCGCCGCGCGAGCGCCGCGCGGCGGCACACCCAGCTCAAAAGAAAAAGAAAAAAGGGAATGAGGAGACCAGCGAGGGAGACTCCCCGCCTATGCAAGCCCCAGAGAGGGGCCGCCATCGCCGAAGCTGTGCCAAAGCATAACTCCAAAACCCGCAGCGGCCCAGGGGGCCTTGGGGGCAGCCTGCCGGACCGCCGCTGCACGGGGCTAGGCACCAGAAGATGAGTGGAATTGATGAATTGGGCCGTTGTCCGTGCCTCCCCTCTATACGTCAGAGTGGGACCTACGCCGCGCCGGGAAAGGGGCGCGCCCGGTCCTCGACGGAGCCGCGCGCCCCAAACGACCCAGGCGGCGAGTAGTCGTCCTCGAACCTTCGACATGTAGTTGCCCATAGTTAGCGCCCGCCCGCCCCCCCCCTCCGTCGCTTCGCAAAAGAAAAAACAAAATAAAAACAAGCAAAAGAGAAAGCGAAGCCAAAAACGATGGCGTAAACGGCGTCACAAAGCCCGCCGGTTTTGATCGATGTTTTTCTTGGATGGATTGGATCTTGGAGCACTTGTGGGTGGACGCGAGACAGATGATGACGACACGCACGAGCGACACACAGACACAAACAAGCTCACAAGACACATTTGATTGATTGATGGGAAGGCGAAACACAGTCCGACCAACGACTGGGACACCAACGCGGTATGGGTGGACGCTAGACGGGCGATGACGGTCACACAGGAGCGACACACAGAACCACAAGACAAGACACTCAGCCAAACTGACTGCCACACATCCTGAGCGAACTTCCCTAGTCACCCGCGGCCGGACTCCATCCGGCACGCGTCGCTGGGCGCTCAGAGCCGCGTAGTAGGTAGGTAGAAAGGTGAAGAACAGCCAGGCTCGGACTGGACACCAACGCGGTATGGGTGGACGCTGGACAGATGATGACGACACGCACGAGCGACACACAGACACAAACAAGCTCACAAGACACACAGCCAGCTGGCTGCCACACAGCCGCGTCCCCTGCTCTGAAAAAAAAAAGCCGAGAAAACGCGGCGGTCTAAGGCAAGGCCGGGTGACGGCGGGTGATGGTTCCATGGTTGCGCGGGGCGCTTGGGCCGTCCTTGCCGCTGCCGTGACCGGCGCGGGCCCGACCAGAGCGCCGCCGCCGCCTCTGCGACTCTATAGCACCGTACCACCACCACCGTCGCCGCCGCCAGCGCTGCTCGCTTCATTTGACGCGTTCAACACCGGAGGTAACAGCAGCAGCTTCTCTCACGCCGTGCTCGGGTCGTGGGCCAGTGGCAAAGGATCACTCCCGGCTGGAATCGTGGCGGCTCAGGCGCAGGGGGCGCGGATAAGCGTCTACGGACTCTTCTCTGGGCTGGCTCCCGGCTCGGTCATCCGGGTGGCCATCCTTGCAGAATGCACCGACCGCATTGGTGCTAGCAGCAACACGACTGTGGGAGCGGACGGCACTGTCACGGTCGAGCTCTCGCAGGCGGTCGACACATCCGGTCAATCCCTCACTGCGGCTACAGCGCTCGCTCTCGCCAGTGGAGGGCAGGTTGTTGTTGTGACAAGTGCTCAAACGCCGCTGTGCGCACCGCTCGCCGCCGAGCCGCACGTGCATTTGGCGCTCATCGGCCGGATGCCAGCTCAGTTCGCGGAGCGGTCCGCTCGCGGTCTCGTGGTGTTCAGCCGGCGGGTATTGAGGAGCGGCTCGCACCTCGCGGTTCGTGGGGTCGTAGCAGGCCTCGAGCCGTTTTTCCACGGCATGTGGCACCTGCACCGCGGCTTCAACTGCCTCGGCGCAGTCGAGGACCTCAACTTTTACGAGGGCGTGTTCGCGGGCTACAGGACCTCGCGGTCGTCGGTGCGTGGCGGCGACAAATGGACGTACGGCTCTTACCGGGCAGACGGCCGCGGCGTGGCGCTGCTTGCTTCGGAGTTTCTCCTCGATAGCTCCGACCTTATTAGTGCTCTTAGCCGCGAGCTGGAAGGAGTGGGGGGTGGGTGCGGCGCAGCAATGCCGGCGACCTTTCTGGGGCGTCAGATGATCGTTCATGGGCGAATGGGCGCCTATGTTGGCTGCGGCGCCGTCGGAGGCTACGCACCAGGCATCACCCAGGCGCTTGCGCGGATGACCGTGTACAAGGCATTCGCATGGCCGGGTACAAGCAGCAGCCCAGATGCCGCCAGCAGCCTCAATGCAAGCAGCAGCCTCAACGCCAGCAGCAGCCTCAACGCCATCAACCGCAGCAGCCTCAACGTCCATGCCCTCGTGCACCTCAAGCAAGAGGGTGGTATGCTCCGCCTCATCGCCACCTTTACGGGCCTGCCCGCCTCCGCAACCCTCCTCCTGCAGCCGCACACCGGCTTCGAATGCCCCGGCCACGACGAGGTGTTAGCGCGGCTCTACGCGCCGGCCGACCAGCCACACGCTCGCACCATCCAGACCGGAGACCCCATGTTCGACTCGGTGTCGATGCTCTCGGATGCCTTTGGCAACGCCTTTCTCAGCGGTACATTCGAGGGCTCACTGGGCCATGCCGCCGGCCGGGTTCTCATCGCTGCCACCGAGGATGGCACCCCCGTTGCCTGCGGCACGATGGAGCCTGTCTCCGCTCTCGTGTCTCCCATTCTGCCACAAGGTGGCATGCGGGGCGGTCTGCTCCTCGTCGCGCAGGCAGGCGCCGGCGTCGCCCTACGGGGCACGCTCCTCTTCGACTCGGCGACGGCCACGGGCGTGATTGGCATGGGCGATGGGTGTGTGGAGCCTGTCACGTGCTCAGTGCTCGTACGGTTTGAAGCGACCGAGGGCGCGTACGAGCTCAGGGAGTACGCTCTTCGCACGCCTGGTGAGGTGATCCTCAGTCAGGACCTTTTGAACGGGGCCGCTGTCCGCATTTTCTCTGACGGTGCTCAGTTGGGCGAGATCACGCTGGCCGGGACGGCGGGCGAGGTGCCGCCGGCGACTGGCGACCTCTGCGACGAAAGCGACAGCCTGCGCTCGAGCTCGATCGCATTCATCGCCGTCGGGACTCCGGCGCTCATACTGCTGGCTACCCTCGCGGTGTTGCTGAGTCAGCGCGCCCGTGCTGCTGCTGCTGGGCTGCTATGGGCGAGGGTACACAAGCCGCTCCAGGAGAGAGTGTCCTCCTCTTGGAGTGTGTCCTCCGCCGCCTCTGCCGGCAGGCGCTTGAAGCGCTGGTACTCGAGGGAGCCGAGTCGTACCTCCGTGAGCATGACCGAGTCTCACACAGAGGACTCGAGTGTCGAGGTTATTCTCGTCCCCCAACAGCGGCGTCGCGGGGCGTGGAAGCCGCCCACCCTGGTGCCACGCTCGACGCAGCGCAAGCCCCGGCTGCTCGCGCTTCACGGCGCAGGCTCGAACCAAGCGGTCGCCAAGCGGCAGCTCAAGAACTTGGGCATTGACGACAGTCTATTCGAGATCCACTGTGTGCCCCTGCCCCTGCTGGCACTCGGTGGTATGCGCCCCGTGTGTTCTCACCTTGCATCCTCACCCCACGCCGCAGACCTGCACGGACCTCTCCAGAGCGATGCCCCTGGGGTCGGCCTCGGCGAGGAGATGGTCCACGGGCCCTTCTACACGTGGTATGACGCGGAGACAACGGACACGCAGATGCTCAGCACGCTCTCCAAGGTGCTAAACGCGATGATCAAGCTCAAGGTGGACGGCTGCTTCGGCTTCTCACAGGGCGCGGCGGTGGTCAGCGCGTGCCTTCAGCCCGACGTTGTTGCATCTGTCCACCGGCATGTAAAGCGGGACGGCGCCAAATTTGGACACTCGTTCGGCTCGCTAAGGCGCCTCCTCGAGCACTCGGCCCCCGACCGAGCGGGAGCGAGGAGCAACACGCTCTCCGAACGCGCGGCCACTGGCGCCCCCTCGCTCTCCTTTGTGCTACTCGCGCACGCTACGAGCACCGCCGCCATCCGCCGCGCGCTCAATATGTGGATGCCGAGGTGCGCCGTCGCGACGCGGTCGGCGCACCTAATCGGCACGCTGGACCACTTCAAGGCGGAGAGCATGGCCGCGGCGCTCGAGTATGAGGGCGGCGAGCTGCGCATGATGCTGTACCACTCGGCGCGCCACGAAATGCCGCGCGACCTGCAGACCAACGAGGTGCTGCACCACCGCCTCTTCTCGCACCTGGCGGCAGGGCTCGGACCGGAGAAATCCACGCTTGGACAGATACCACTCAACGAGCGGTCGGAGCAAGCTCTGCCGCTCGCGCCGCAGCCTCCCATCACGCGTGCCTCCTCCGCGCTGGCGCACCTCTCCTTCTCCCACGAGGCAGGATCGAGCCCACCGCTACGACCCCCACGCCGCTGTGAAGTGCGAGAGCCCGCGAGTCCAACCGCGCCGCTGGTGGCTCTCCCGACAGAGTACTCCTGCGCGCGTGGCTCGACGATAGACCTGTCGATGCGCTCGGAGAGGGGCATCGCGAGCTACCTCGTCAGGCCGTCGCCGCCAGAGGCGCTCAAATTCCGGCCTGTCTCCCGGCTGAGCGCCGCAGGCGTCTCGAGGAGCCAGCAGCTCGTGCGCGTGGCGCTCGATCCGAGCATCGACGAGCTGCCACAGACCATTCTCGGCCTCCTCGCCGCGCCGGCGGGCGACTGTCAACGTGGCCGCGTCTCTTTACCCTTCACTCCGTGAGCAGGCCTCCTCGTCGCACAGCCTGCGAGCTGCGCGTGCCTCCGCTCGGCCGCCGGCACGTCCGCAGTCCTGACCTACGGTGCGCTTGCCGCCTTCATCAGCGACAGTGGCAGCCTGAGCGCCCTCGGAGTCATGCCCGGCGAGGTGGTCGCGTACGTGGTGCCGAGCGGCGCTGCAGGGGCCGTGGCCTTTCTCACGCTGGCCGCGCAGACAACAGCCGCCCCCCTCCCGCCTGACATCGCGCACGACGACGCGCTCGACGCGCTCGAGCAATTCGATGCGAGGCACGTCATCTTGTTTGATAGCGCGCCGCACGCGGCGGTCTGCGCCGCTGCGGAGAGTGCCGTGGCTTCGGGCCGTGACGTGAAGATCCACCGCGCCAGCTCGCGTGCTGACGTCGCCGGGCTCTTTGCGTTCACGCCCGCGGCGGGCTGCGCGGCGTCGGACCACAAGCTCGCGACGAGCGCCGACGACGTTGTGCTACTTCTCCGCACCTCGGGGACCACCTCCAAGCCCAAGGGCGTCCCTCTGCAGCAGCGCAGCCTGGTGCGCAACGCGGCGCTCCTCGCCGCGAGTCTTGGAATCACAAGGTACGAGATCTCGGCTGTACCTCGGCTGTACCTCGGCTGTACCTCGGCTGTACCTCGGCTGCAGCCTCCGCTCCAACTCGGCGTCCCCTTGCCTGGCAGTGACGACGTTTGCCTGAACGCCATGCCCCTCTTCCACGTCGGCGGCCTGTCCGCTTCTGTTCTCGCGACGCTCGCCGTCGGTAGCAGCTGCACGTGTCTCGGCTCCTTCTCGGCTCAAGACTTTTGCGCGGCTCTCGGCGCGATGCCTCCGCCGACGTGGTACAGCGCGGTGCCGACGATGCACCTGGCCATCCTCCACCACATCAAGGACAGCGGCGCCGACCCTGTACACTCCCTCCGGCTCATCCGCTCGGGTGCCGCTGCGCTCACACCGGCTGACGGGCAGGCGCTCTCGAGGTGCTTTGGCGGCATCCCCGTCCACGCAACCTACTCCATGTCTGAGCAGATGCCCATCACACAGCCGGGCACCGCCGTCGACCAGATGCGTGAGAAGAGCGGATCGGTCGGTATCGCAGTCGCTGCCTCTCTGGCGGTCGTCGATCCGACGAGCCTCGCGCCGCAGCCGCCGGGCCTCCCAGGCGTCATCGCCATCTCGGGTCAGACGGTCATGCCCCGCTATCTCAACAGCCCCTCGGCCGACGCGGACAGCTACTTTCTGCTCTCTTGCGCCGACGGCGCCGTTGCAGCCGAGCCCGACCGCTTCTTCCTCACGGGCGACGTGGGCGTGCTCGACGCCGACGGCCACCTCAGCATCACGGGGAGGGCAAAGGAACTCATCAAGCGCGGGGGCGAGCAGGTGTCACCGCACGAGGTCGAGGCTGCTCTCCGGTCGCTCGAGTGGGTGCGCACGCCGGTGGTCTTCGCCGTGCCCTCGCCGGCGTGGGGCGAGGAGGTGGGCTGCGTCGTCGTGCTCGGGCCGGACGCGCCGCCCGAGCTCGCCGACGCCCGGCTGCTGCTTCGCGCGCTGCGCGGCGGCTTGAGAAGCGAGGGGCTCGCGCCGAGCAAGTGGCCGTCGGTGGCGCGAGTCGTCGCGCCGGCGGAGCTACCCAAGACAAGGACGGGCAAGGTCGTGCGCAGTGGGCTCGCCAAAGCGCTCGGCATTGCTGCGCCCAGCTTTGGGGATCTCGCAGCCGTGCGGCGCGGGCCGCCTCGCGTCTCGCACGCCATCGAGGGGGTCCGCTACATCCTTGCCTGCCAGGTCGTCTTCAACCACGTGGGGCTGCAGGCGCCGTCAGCTGCGATCAGCCGAGACATCGCGTGATTCGCGAGCACCTCGTCTCACCGGATATTACGAGTGTGAACAGGCACCGTCCGATGGCAGCAACATGGACGGCGTGGCCGACACCGAGTCGTGGGGAGCGTTCGGAGCGGCGCGCTTCATGTGTGTCCACGTGCCGACCTTTTTTGCGCTCGCCGGGTTTGGGCTCGCCGTCCACATGGGCCCGGCACCACGCTCAGCGCTGGGCTACGTCGCCAACCGCCTCTCACCGATGCTGCCGATGTACTATGTCTCGCTGCTGCTGCTGCTCATCAATCTGGTCGCCATGTGCCACCCGGGAGACTTTGACGGCTCGTTCCACTTCTTTGCGCAGTGGGACGATCAGGACCGCGGAGACTTTTGCGAGCCGGCTCCGCTGCTCTCCGGCTGGTGGGGCTCTCTCTTTGCCACGGTGGCGGTGTACGGCTTCGGGCTGCAGTCGTGGCCGGTCTACCTTTACAGCTGGTTCCTCTCCTACTACACGTGGTTCTCGTCCGTCTACTACTCGATGGTCTTCACGCACCCGCTCTTCTACTCGCGACTGATCACCATCCGAGGCCGCGCCCGCCTGCTCTGGGCCATCGCCACGCTCCTCGTCGTCCTCAACGTCTGCGTCGTCGCGGGCTGGTTCGCCGGCTGGTATGAGGACCGGGCCTATGGCGGCCGGCCAGCCGATCTTGGCTCGCGTGACTCAGCGGCGGAGCTGACCAGCCAGTTCTCCCTCATGTACTACCTCTTCCCCCCCTTTTGGTGGCCCTCCTTTGCGCTCGGCACGTGCGCCGCCTTCCTATTCGACCACTACCGCCCGTACGAGTCGCACCACGCGTGGGTATGGGGAGTGATCACCGACGTGCTGACCTCCGCCCTCATTCTGGTCGGCTACGTCGTGTATCCGCTCCTCGCCTCGTGCGAGCAAAAGGAGGGGCTGCTCTGCGCGCGCATCGAGCCGCAGGCGGCGGAGCACGCCCTCGGCGACGCGGGGTTAGGCCACGAGCTCCTCGACGCGGAGAACGACGCCCTCGGCATCCGCTCCGTGGCAGGCATCTGGTCGCGGCTGCTGATGCCTGTCATGGTGCTCTGGCTTTTTGGCCTCGCCGTCGGGAGGGGCCTCACCGCGCGTCTCTTCAGCCTGCCATTCCTCGTGGACACGCTGGCCCCGGTCTCGTACAACGTGTACCTCTTCCACCAGTGGGTCGGCCAAGTCTACTTTCTCGCGACGCGGCAGCAGTGGTGGTCCTACTGGCGCTACCGCAAGCGCTTCTTCTGGTTCTCGCCGCAGCCGGTGCCTGTGGCGTGGTGGGAGTACTTCTTCGTCCTCGTCCTCACCACCTACTTCTCCATGGCCATGGCGAGGCTCGACCCGCTCCTGATCGCCAAGTGGGAGGCGGCGCGCACCCACCTCCGGCGCCGCCTCTTTGGCGCGCCGGAGGCGCTCGGCGGCTTATCGACGACCGACGTCGTCCTCTCTGTGATCGAGCAGCTCACGGGCGCGGCGGTGGAGCCGGACTGGAGCCTAGCCGAATGCGGGCTCGCCTCGGTTGCTGGACCCGTCCTCGTGGCACGGCTGCAGGCGGCCATACCCGGCGTGACCATATCTCTCGCCGACCTAATCGAGGTGGACACCGTCGGCGGCCTCGCCGAGCTGCTCGGGAGTCGGCGAAAAGAGTCGAACGCGAACGGCGTCGGCTCGTAGTGCGGAGACTACTTCTCTGCGCACAACCTTCGCACGTGGGAGGGCCATTACTACTGCGTCGACGCGTGGGCACACGCATCGGAGCTTCCGGGCTGTGGCGGCAGAGAGGCTGCCGCGTGCAGCAACTTTAAAGGCAAGAATTCCGGCCAGACGCGCTACGCGCTGGCCCAGAAGAGCACTGCTCCGTGGAAGGAGCGTGTGACTCTGATCAAGGCCCTCTCCACAGACGCCGCAAGGCGGTTCGACGACGGCTACTTCGACTGGGTCTACTTGGACGCGCTGCACACGTACGACGCCGTCGTGCAAGACCTGCGCGCGTGGTGGCCCAAGCTGCGCGAGGGAGGGCTCCTCTCTGGCGACGACTACGGCGACAAGCTGCGCACGGAGTACCTCACCACCGACGCCGCGCAACGGCACTACGACATCAACTACCCGTACGTCAAGCAGTTCCATTGGGGCGTGATCCGCGCAGTGACTCAGTTCGCCCGGGAGGTGGGCGCGCCGGTGCAGGTGAGCTGGCACAGCCACGTGTAGGTCCCCGCGGGGCAGATTGGTTGCTACCACTGGCCTGCGTGGTACCTTGTCAAGCCGTACGCACGGCTGACCATCTGAGTGAATGCATGAACCACATTCATGTTCCCATGCGCCATGGTATGGTACCCAGCACCGACGCCGGTGCCGGTGCCGGTGGTGTGCCGGTGCCGGTGCCGGCCGATGCCGGTATGCGCACACTTTCCCCACTCGTGATTACCTACTCGCTACGGTACCCTGTATCAGCAACTCGCTGTACCTCCAGTACACGTAAAGGGTAGATGGTGGCGCAGCAGACCCGGCACCAGCGGTCCCGAACTAACGTTCACCCAGAAATGACGGAATAGGAGGGTGGTGTTGGCACAGAAAAGAGGTGTTAGTACGAGTGGTGTTCACCCAGGAAAAGAGGTGTTAGTACAGGTGTTAGCCCGAGGCGAAGCCGCCCGAGCGAAGCGAGGGCGCGAGGAGCGAAGCGACGAGCCCCTAGAGCCGTAACGCCGGGGTTCGGGGGGCCGCGTATACCATGTTCAAACTCCGCACTTTAATTCGAACTTTCTCGCCTCGGCTCGTGGGGCTCGGGAGTAGTCAAGCAGGTGTGCGGGGTGGGCGGGAGGGGGCCTGGGAGCATTTTTTTGCATTTCCGAGGCGAGCGTGGGCCGTGGTGGGCCCCTCCGGGCCTCTCTCAGCAGCACGGAAAGTAGCGCGCGACAGAGCGCTGTTCTCGGCCCCCCCTGAGCGTATTGGGACGAGCCAGACTAGCATGCACATCGCCTTGGCACGTAGGGCGCACGACTTACCCACGCACACCCCGGTGACAATCTTGGGAATCTCCCGACAATCTCCCCAAATCTCCTCCCGCTCTCGCGAGTAGCGCGGCGCAGCGGGGCGCGTTGATGTCGATGAATGCAGTGTGGACTCCTTTTCGACACTCTCTAGCACCGGTGAACACACAGGCGTTAGGTAGGTAGGTAGGTAGAAAGGTGAAGAACAGCCAGGCTCGGACTGGACACCAACGCGGTATGGGTGGACGCTGGACAGATGATGAGGCGTTGCTTCCGAGGTGGTAAAAATCTGTGAATGCCCGCCGAAGTTGTCGCGGTTTTCCGACTTGTCTCGTGCTCGAGCCATGCCGAAAAGAGCGGGCGCAGGCCTGGGACAGCGTCGCAAAAGCGGCCAAGGAGTCCGTCCCGGCTCCAGGCCAGGACCAGATCGCCGCTCGGTACCGCCAGTTTGCGACTCTGTGCCTGCGCAGTCGTCGCTATCTCACGCTTCCGATCTCGTCACAATAGGCGCCCTCGCCGAGTGCAACGTCCTCGCGGCCGCAAAGCCGTGCTGGCTCGCGCAGAGTCGGCGTCGCAAAGAACCTGAGAACGCCGCGGCATGCTACGGTTGGCGACGTCCTCGGCGAGGCCATGGAGCTGCATAGCACGAGCGACGAGGGCCGCCGCGACGGGATCTACAACCAGAGAGAGCACGGACGCCGAGGATCGCTCTCCCGTGCAGCGCCGCAGCGGCTCGTCGGCGGCTCGTCGGCTGCGGCCTCGAACGGAGATCGCATGGAGGTTGACGAGGAACCTCCCTCTCTGAGCAGTGCTCCAGCGGAGCCTGCGCAGCAGCAGCAGCAGCAGCAAGCAAGCGTGCTCACGCTGGTGGCAGACATCGGACGCCTCGAGCTGGAGGAGGTTGGCCACCGTGCAGGCGATCTCGGGGATGACGATTCGCGCCGGATCGCTCTTCAACCGCTTCAAATCGGGAGCCCCCACCGGGTGGGTGGCGAAGCTGTTCGCGGGCGAGGCACCGACGGAGCGCAAGCTGGTCATGCAGCGCTTTACCGACGGCAGCGAGTTTGGCGGGCACTGGCACCAGCTCCTCTTCTTTGTCGACCAGAGACGGGTGCTCTACCACGAGCCCTATGGCGGCGCAATCGACTCGGGCATCGCGTCTTGCTTCCACCGGAGCCCCGGGCCTGCCGCCGGCTGGGCGCTGGAGGTGGTGGATGTGCAGCTGCAGTCTTGCACTCACGAGTGCGCGCTCTGGGTGGACTTTGTCGCGGAGGTGGCTGTCGACTACGTGAGGAGCGACCTGACTCGCTCCTTCAGCGAGTACCTTCGCGGGTGCGCTCTCCCTGTGTGTGTGTGTGCATGCCTGCGATAAGGCTGACCGGTGTCGCGCCGCCCCCGCAGGCGTGAGGAGATCACCCCGCTCAACGGCATGCGGCGGACTTGCACGGCGATGAAGACGGCGAAGGCAAAAAACAACGCCTTCGTCGCACAGCGCCGAAACGACGTGCGCACGCTGTTACGTCTAGCCTATGTCCAGCGCCAACTGCCGCACACAGGCTCCGCAACGCTGACCGCCTTTGGCGCAGCGGCGGAGCAGGAGCCTGCCGAGGACACAGACTCGGACTTTGAGATGTTGACCTAGACCGACGTGTGATTCAGATAGTTGTCTTCAGATGTGTGTGTGATTCAGATGTGTGTGCGTGTGATTTTCGGCACGGGTATAGATTAGAAGGAACGTATCGTCACACACACCCTCTTTGAGAGAGGGACACAGCGTGGTGCACAGTAGCGGGCTAGCTTCTACAGAGGCAACCGGTCCGAGGGCGAGCGTTTCGCTCGCCCTGATGCGCATGAGCGACATGGAAGCTCCCGACCGGCGCAGATGCCACGGGCGACACCAATCCCAGCCTCAAAAGGCGAGGAGGGCTGGTGGAGTGCCCAGACGGCAGTGGCTTCCGAAGAACTTTTTGCGGGTGACGCAAAGGATCCGAGGAGAGAGCACCTCGGCTGCCGGCGAGGCATCCGCCCCGTGCCCACACATCTGATGGAAAGTGCGAAGAAGCGGTGGCGGCAGGCTAGCCACCGGTGGGGCACACGGAGCGATATGGCGTTCGGCTGCGATTTGAGTGCAACCGGGTGACGCATCTCCTCCACAGAGACGCGGGGACGGCGTGCCTGCGAGGCGCCCGATATGCGCCAACGGACCCAATGGAAAGTGCGAAGCGAGCACTCGACGGCTCGCAGCCTGTGGACGGAGCACGAGAGCTCGAACCTCGCACTCTCGTGCAAAATCGGCACCTCGGAGCGCCTTTTTCACCGCATTCGAGCCCATGAAAACAACAAGGTACCCCAAGCAGCACGATCACGCCTCGCACCGGTGCGGTGGTGCCGGGCGGCTCTAGGGGGTCAGGCTGGCTGCATGGCACCACCCGTAGCCCGTTTTGCTGCCCTGGCATCACCCGGAGGGGGGATTGAACATGGTACGCGTAGCGCGTACGTAAAGCCGTAGGCCCCGAGAATTTTTTAGCCCTGGAACGTAGCGAACGCTGATTTCTAATAAGGATTTTGTGGTGCTCGACTTTCCGGTGGGCTCTTGGCAAGCCACACACTCACACACACACACACGCAAGCCCTTGTTCTGAGAAAAGTGCATAGCCATAGGCAAAAGCCCGTGACTTCGGACAGAGGTCCCAAGCTCCCAACTGCTGCTTATCGGAGGTCGTCACCGCAAAAGTGGTGTGTGGAACGTTGGCTCGTGGAATGTTCCCACCATTTAGAGAGTTGTTTGCCTCATTGACAAATCATTGGATGCAAAACCAGCGTGCGCAGGTCAACAACCGTCCACGACGTCTACCCGACCGCTCGAGGCACCGTGTTCGCGCCCAAGCCCGTTCCTCCCGTCCCCAATGGTCGACGGCCCCGCCTGGCTCATCGTCAGCACCGACCGACGGCAGCGGCCAGCCACATTGTCAAAAGCGGAGCCCCGCACGCTTGGCGCTTGACGCGGCCACCAGCGCCGGCAGCCGCTTGCGCGCCGCGGCGAGGCTCTCCCGCGTTGTCGCCTGAGAGGCAAGGAGCTGTGGGTCAAGCAGAAGAGGCGCCGGTCACTCGCGAGACGAAGCCTCCGCCGTTACCTCGTCCAGCGGCGCCCCTCCCGGCTTGTGCAGTCCACGGAAGGCGCCGTCGCTGTCGAGGAGGAGCGTGAAGGACGTCGACAGCAGCGCCTCCTCCTCCGCCTGTTCACAGCTCAGCGCATCGACCGGGTGTGAACAGCCGCTGGCAGCAGCGCCTCCTCCTCCTTCGCCGTCGGGTCGAGCAGCAGCCGCCCGTCGAGCAAGCCTTGAGAGGCACACCTTGAGCCCTCAGGACTAGCGACACTCGAGGTCTGAGCAGCGGCCGCGTCGAGCCGACCGAAGCTGACGCCGAAGACGTGCAATGTCTAGGAAATGTCTAGGAAATGTCTAGGAAGACGGACCGAAGCTGACGCCGAAGACGCGGTGCTCTAGCGAGAGTGGCGCCTGCTGGTGCTCGCCGTGGTCACGAGAGACTCAACGCAGTGGCGGACTCACGCATGCGCGCCGCCTGCAGGTGCTCAGAACGGTCACGGCGACTCAACTAGTGTTGCGACGCCGCGCTCGACGGCGGCGGTGCCGTCTCCGACCCAACCACAACCACCCTGGCTGTGCCGTCCTCGCCCTCCCCCTCCCCCGTCGAGAATCGCACCTAACCTCGGGCCATCTCGGGTGATCTCGGGCAATCTCGGGCCATCCTGGTGCCCCTCGTCTGTCGGGCTATGATATCACTACTATGAACTGCTAGTGACTGCTATACGGACTGCTTCGTCCCACTGCTACTGCTGACCGCTGGCAAAGCCGTGTCCGACAGAGCAACCAGCATCGCCAGCAAGCAAGCATCCGTCAGGTTGCCGTCGGCCTACCGTTCCACATGCCGGCCGTGCGGGGCGGTGCGGCCTCTGTAGAGGCGTCCATCTGTGGGCACCGCCCCCCCCCCCCCCCCCGACTAGCGAGAAAGGGGCGGTGTGAATAACGCAGTGCGCCTCTCGGCAGTCTCTCGGGAGTCTCTCGGCAGTCTCTCGGCAGTCTCTCGGCCGCCGCCCGCCTCGAGCACGTGCAGAGTACAGCGGCACTCCCAGACCGCCTTCTCCTCCTAAGGAGGGATGCGGCGTAGACTGGTGAATCGACTCAGAAGCGGTCTCTGACACGCCGCCGCCCTCCGCCTCGATGCACAGCGAGGCTGCAGCGACCATCCCAGCGGCGCTGCGCTGCAACAGCTCCGACAGCGCGCTCTGCTCCCGCTCCTGCCGCGCCTGCCCGCCTCGCTCTCCGCCGGCGAGAGGCTGGTCGAGCGTGACCACCACCCTACCCTCGCCCGGCTCCGCCTCTGACGGAAGCGTGGGGACCGCCTGCACGCCCGCGAGGACGGTCGTCTGCCCGAGCTTCGCCATCGCCGAGCCGTCGGCGCTGCTCACGACGGCCGCGCTCGCGGCGGCGCGGCGGCCGCGCAGCAGCCCTCGCCCGTCCGGGCGGACACCCTGCGCCAAAAATGCCTGGTGGTAGTGCAGCGGGTGGACCCTCCGGAACGCGGCCGCACCGGCCGCTTCTGACGGCGCTGCCTGGACCGGCTGCGCGGCGGCGCCAGCAGCGCCGTCGGCCTCTGGGGGCAGGCCAGGTGACATATATCGCGTATGGACTGGGAGGAAGAGCTCGAGCGGCAAGCACGAGCACCGGGAGACCCTACCTATCGATTTCTTTTATGAGCTCTCTCGATCCTCGCGAAATGTGAGCCTGTTTGTGTCTTTGTGTCGCTCGTGCGTGTCATCATCATCTGTCTCGCGTCCACCCATACCGCGTTGGTGTCCAGTCCGAGCCTGACTGTTGTTCATCTTTCTACATACATACATCGCGAAAGCACGGCGTGGCGTGGGGCTCGCGAAAGCACGAGGCACCGGGAGCGGGGAGCCTGACGACGCTTCAATTTCTTTTATGAGCTCTCTCGATCCTCACCGCCGCGCGAGTAGAGACCACGCCTGCTATTCACAGCACAAGCCCTGCTGTGTCGACATGATGCTTGGGGGCTGTGACACTTGTGGAACATGATCATGAAAGTGTGGGACTTGTTGTAGATATGGGGGCTGTGTCCTGTACAGTAAAGAAAGGAAGCACCCAGCCAAAAGGAGGGATGGGAGGACGGCACGCCGCCACCACACACGTTTTGTTTTCACACAGGGATTTCCGTGTCGAGACACTTCTCGCTTGTAGCACGGGCTTTTTTTTTCGCCGTCGGCCCCAAGTTGCTCAAACAAACAAGCGATTTGATGTCACTCCCCAGACCCCACGCCACGCTCCCCGCTCTCGCCGCTCTTCTCTCCCAACGGACGCTCTCCCAAGCTCGGCCAGCGCCGCTTTCCCAAGTCGCTCTCTGGCTCCGCTCAACTACGACTCGCCCGCCGCGTGCGATGATGAGTGCGAGTCGTCGCCCGAGGCATGGCGGCCGGGGCGGCTTCCAAGTCGCTCCCAACCTGGCTGTCGCCCGGCGGGACCGTCGCCACCACCGGCACCGATGAGGCGATCGTCGCAGCACCGGCGCCCCGGCGGACGACGCGGCGACGCGGTTTTTATCTCTTACCTAATTCCTATTTTTTTCCTATCAGTCTCTCGGGGCCACGGCCATCCGAGAGGTCCGCGGCTGCTGCGCGAGCAAGGTCTGCTTACACGTCTTTCAATCGACTTCCAGCATGGCAGTGCCATGGCCGGCGCTACATCAGAGCAGGGAGAGAAGAGTACCGCGCCGTCCCCATCGGCGCCACCGCCTCCCACGCATCCAACGCCGGGTCGTACCGCTCCACCGAGCTGAGGTCGCTGCCGTCGCCGCCGTGTTCGAAGCCACCCACAGCGTACAACTTGCCCTCGAGCACCGCCACGCCGTGACCTTCCCGCATACTCGCCATCGACGCCACCGCCTCCCACGCGTTCATCTCGGGATCGTACCGCTCGACCGAACTGATGCCATCACCGTCGTACCCGCCCACAGCGTACAGCTTGCCGTCGAGCACCGCCACGGCGTGTTCCTGCCGCGCCGCCGCCATCGGCGCCACCGCCTCCCACGCGTTCGTCGCCGGATCGTATCGCTCCACCGAGCTGAGGTAGCCGTCGTCGTTGTTGTAGCCGCCCACAGCGTACAGCTTGCCGTCGAGCACCGCCACGGCGTGATGATTGCGAGCCGTCGCCATCGGCGCCACAGCCTCCCACGCGTTTGTCGCCGCGTCGTACCGCTCGACCGAGCTGAGCGCGTTGTAGCCGTCATCCTGCCCGCCCACAGCGTACAACTTGCCATCGAGCACCGCCATCTCGTGATACTCGCGCGCCTCCGCCATCGGCGCCACCTCCTCCCATGCTTTCGCAGCCAAGTCGTACCGCTCCACCAGGTTGGAAGATGCGCCGTCGTCGTCATCATCCTGGCCGCCCACCGCGTAGAGCTTGCCGTCGAGCACCGCCATGCGGACACACTTTCGTGCCGTCGGCATCGGCGCCACAGCCTCCTCCTCCCACTCGCTTGTGGACGGGTCGTACCGCTCCAGCGAGTTGACAAACGCGTTGTTGTCCTCACTTTGGCCGCCGATCACGAGCAGGCGCGGCCGCTCGCGCTTCTTCAGCGTCTCCTTCCAGCCGCGGCGCCACGCGCGGCACGTCCCCTTGACGGCGTGCTCCGTGGTCGGCAGCTGGGCGAGGATGTGCGGGGCGAGGTCCGGCGAGAGGAGGACCTCGGAGAGCACCCACTCGGGCTGCTCCACGAGCCGTGCGGTTTGCTCCTCCGCCACGCGCAGCGCGGCGTCGCTCGCGCCCGCCTGCGCCTCGATGATGGCGCACAGCTGTTCTGGCGAGAGGCCCGCGACGCGGGCGCCGATGCGGTGGGAGGCCATACACACATACACACACGTATGTGAGTAGGGCTCGCAAAAAAAGAATCTTACCAACGCCCAGATCCACGCTGAATCGGGTTGTCTGTTTTGTTTCTTTCTTTTCTTTCGAGATAAAAGATTTCCAGTGTACGCACTTATCTTACGTACATTCCCGGAGGAGGACTGCTGACGGGGTTTGCGATGAGGAGCGATCCGAACGTGGTATTTTCGACCCCCCCCCCTTTTACTTTAAGGCCCCTTCCCTGCGAACGCGCACCCCCAGGGCTAGGGCTCTCTTGCCCGCAACCCGATGCCAATCACCCGACCCGCTGGGTGTAAGCTTCTTAGCTCCCCGGCCCTGGATGTGAGGGGTTGATAACTGCACTCCAAGTGCTCCAAGTGCTACCAAGGCTCCTTACAGGATCGCCCCCGGGCCTTCCTATCATCATCATCACAGGGTACACAGAGGGCGGGGGCGGGACACACCCACAGCCACACTCCACGTAAGATTCCGCCAGAGTGGTACGTGTGTTCTGTATCCGCATCCACCCCTCGTTTCAGAGAGAGCTTTTGCCGCGCTCAGTAGCCGTAGGTGCCAATCTTGGCAGCCATGTCCGCGACGAAGGGCAGTGCCGTGTCGCCGGCCGTGAAGGGCGCCATCACCTCGCCCGCGTACGGCGCGATGCCGAGCGTGTCGAGGCCGGGCACAATCAGGCCCTTTGAGGCGGAGATGAGGCCGAAGAGACCGATCATCGCGAGGCGGCCGTTGTTGAGCTCGGCGAGCAGCGCCTTCTCCTTGCGCTCGGGCGTCATCTTTTTGGTGAAGCCGAAGGGTC